TGTACAGGTGTTTTGCCTGCCATGTATATCTGGGCACTTAGTATATGCAGTTCCCACAGAAGCCAGAAGAGGGCATCAGATCCTTTGGGACTAGAGTTACAAAAGGTTCTGAGGGGGCATGTGTATGCTGGGAATCAAGTGCCAGTCCTGAAAGAGTAATCAGGCTCTCTTGGCTGCTGAGCCATCTCTCCAGCCTCTTCTTGTCATAAGGACGCCACTCATCTGATTCTAATTACTTTTCCTGCAGCTCCTGCGTTAAATACCACTTACATACGAATTTTGGGATTCAGTTTCCAACACTTGAGTTTTGGGTGAAAATATGCACATGGCAGCCTTGGAGAGAATGCCCAGAGAACACCCGTGACATGCCATGCTCCTGGGATGGGAGGGCTATGAAGGAAACTTTCATTCTGCTCAGTCATGTATTAGGGCAATTTCTGGCCAGAGCAGAACAGTTTTTGCTAGAGTGTGTAATGTAGTCCAAGAGGAAAAGCAAGTCTAAAGCAAGTGGAGGCAGAGACACACCAGGAAAACTGGAGGAAATAGCTGGGAAAGCACAAGGCCTTCTGGCCGCAGGGCAGCTTGGATGGCTAAACAGGGGGAGGCTGTCAGAAAGCCAAGAAGTTACAACTAGGGAGAGAGAACTATACTCTAGTATTTGGCAACCAGAGAGACCTTCATTGGAGACAGCAGTAATGTGAAGGAGGTGGAGGGGAAAGCTGCATTTGGAGTAAGGACAGGAGTTGGGAGTTTGGGCAGGAAGTAGCCTCCTGTCCTTTGCCCTTAATGGACTAAGGGGCATCAGTTAGAGCAACAATCTTAGAGCCCTGACATAGGTCGTCCTTCTTGCAGGCAGGTGTGGACAACGCTCAGAGATAGGAGCATGTAGGACAGGGTGGTAAGCTGCAAAGCGACATCAGATGTGGAAAAACCCGAGGTTGATGGCCATGAATGGACGTGGGAGCTCTGGGTGAGCCATCAAAGGTAGCACTCATCACACAGCCGGTCGCTGTTGTGAGCTGTGCTTCCTGCTCACAGGTGGGGTTTACAAATGAGGGCATCAGACAGTATAGCTCTGCGGGGTGGCACTGCCTGCATGCCAGCAGGCCTTGTTAGTGCAAACTCTCAGGCCATAGCTTCTTGGAATGGTACCATATCTGATTCTATCTGGACTCCTGAACTCTGAGCTTGGGCCAGCAAGAATCCTGGCACTAAGAGGCTAATTAGTTTTTATTTCTCATTCCTGCCAGCTGGGGCTCACCAGCTGGGGCTGGCTGCTTAGAGACTATGTTGAGAAGTCCAAGGCTTCTTGCAGGGCCAGCGGGCAGGAGAGTTGGGACTGTGAACCATTTTCAGCCAAAGGTATGGGCTTGTCATTAATAGAGCAGCCACTGGGCTTTGCTGTCCAAAAGATGGCCCACCTAAAGCATTCCATGGTCTTCAAATGGCATAAGTCATAGGAATGCTTTCTCCCAGTGAAATTTCTCATGGAAACAGATCAAAGTAGAACGGTTCTTCTCAAACAGAGGAACAGATGGGAGTCTCTCGTGCTCCTTCCCTCTTTCCTAGTGGCAGTTCTAAAACATCTACACATGAAACTATTTGAAAACCCCTGGGGCAGGTGTTACTTTACAGGAAACTGGGAAGAGCTCTCTGAGGATGACATTTGAATTGAGGACCAGAACAAGTGCACAGGCCCAGCTGTGGAGCATGCTTCTCTAGTTGACAATCACAGGGCACTCTCTGGCATAGCTACAGTGTAAGGCTGTGTGGTCAGGGTAAAACATTTGCTGTGATAGGTGAACAGTATCCACTCAGGATTCTCCTTACAAATAAGATGAGAAGTTTCAATTGCACTGCGAGAAGCTATTGAAGGTTTTTAACAGGAGAGAATCATAATTTGGCACGAGTTGTAAATTGCTATTGGCTCTCAGATGGGGAAGAAGTAAAAGTCAAAACGCCAGTGATCTATTCTGGGAACCAGGCTTGGGTGGTAACACAGGATACCTTACAACTGAGAGGTGGAACAGGTGGAGCTGCTCTGTATCAGGCACAGAGGCCCTGGGACCAGGGTTCCTGACCAGGCTTGGACCTTGCCTCCCCTGGGAAGCTCTCTTCATCCAGCACTACTGTCTATATTGAAGTTGCTCTAGCCACCCCCCTTGGGTGTTTACTATTCATTAGATACTGCTACACCAGGGAGGAAACTTATCGCCTCCTCTTCAGCTCTCTGACTTCTCAGATGAAAGACCAAAGGCCCAAAGCTGATGACAATAAACACATGTGCCTTAGTCCCCTGTTTGGTGGGTTTTTTTGTTTGTTTGTTTGTTTTGTTTTGTTTTTTGCTTTGCTTTGTTTTGTTTTGCCTTATTCTCAGTTTTTCATTTCTGCATCCCCACTACATCATAAATTGCTTTCTTCTGGTTTTTATTTTAGTTTTAATTAAAGATTCTTTAGAGCAGGGGTCATAACTTATCCCCCCTTTTTTTCTCATCAACATCCAGCACAGTGATTGTGTCAAACAAAAGTTAAACAAATGTTTGTTGACTGGCTGTTCTGGTTCTATGAAGCCCACTGCACAGGAACTATGCCCACTCCACCCATCATGGCAAAGCCACTCCGTTTTCCAGACCCGATGTTGCTCACCAACCACTTGCACCTATCACTGTCCAAAGCTGGCCCTTCTGAACTAGCCAGGTGACACTTGAAGTCACCAGGTATTATCAGTACAGACAGAGGAAGCTCTGCTCCAAAGGGAAGGATGACTTGAGGGTAGGGGTTCTGTCATGTAACTGTTTCACTATAACCACGACTGTTATGGGTTGCCACTGAAATACCAACTGCCTTTCTTGACCGCCTGCTTGCCTCTCACTGAGTGCTCACAGGGAGTGGAATGACAGAGTCTATTGGCACAGCATCGGAGGCTGAGGTCTGATAGAGTGAACTTAAATAAGGACTCATTTCTAAAGCCTCCCTTCAAAGGTGAAGGGTGCTTTCTACCCCTGTGTGGATCTTGTCTCCCAAAGTCTCTCCAATTGTTTAGAATAAAATATAAGCTGTAACCTGAGATTGTAGCCTGACTTCCCCATCTATGTGCTAGGTGACATTAAGCATACGGCATACCCTCTTGGGCCCTCAATACGCCAAGCACATGACATAACTTCCGGCACGTGGCACTTTTAAAAACAGAAATTCTTTGACAATTTCATACAATGTAATTTGGTTATATTCACTTCCACTTCTTCCCATAATTCCTCCCATGACCACCCCCTCATCTTCTCACCCACTCCCAACTTTGTGTGTGCTTACCTGTTTACTTCTGCTGTCTTCTTCCCAACTTCCTCCTCACTCACTCAAAAACACCAATTCTAATTTGCATTCATGGATTGAAGTTATCAGCTGGAGCATGCACAATTTACAAGGGGGCCACACCCTTAAAGAAATCAGACTCTCTCTCCCTTCCCCAGCAGCCATCAACTGTCAATAGCTCTACAGTCATGAGTGGTGGGCTGCAAGGCCCTCCTCCTCTCTTGCTGGAATGTCTTATGAGTGGTGGGCTGCAAGGCCCTCCTCCTCTCTTGCTGGGTTGATCTTATGCAGGCAACCACAGCTGCTGTCAGTTTATGAGTATTGTCATGCCCAGAAGGCCCTTCTGCTCCTGTCCTCTCTGAATTCTGGCTCAAAGAATCTCTCCACCCATCTTCCACAGTGAGATCACATGACATAAATGTCTCTTTTGTGGTAGAGCACCCCACTGATACTCTCCACTTCGATTAGTCACAGCACCTCTTAATTCTTAAGTTTGACTGCAGCTATGAAGGCCATTTAAATAGTTGCAGACTTCAGAACTTCATCGCCTTTTCTGCATTTCTTACTTTGTTCTCCAGAAATCTTCTGGAAGACATAGGCATGATAATAAAGAAACCCAGGAGGTAGAAAGGAAGATTTTTCAAAGTGAATAGAAATTTTAGAACACTCCCTCTCATTTCCTCCCCCGGGGAGAAAGCTTCCCTCTTCTGTTTCTTCCTTTGACCCAGCTGGATCTGCTTCTTTGGGTCACATAAGGCTTACGTGAAAGCAGATACTGAAAAAGCTCTGGAATACCAGATATGGGGTTGGTTCAGAGTGGGTCTATTATACTAACACAGTTTACCCGGTTTCAACTCTTCTAATGGTCTTCTAGTTGAAAGTTAAATTGAGAAATATAACTCATGTGTTTGTTATATGTGTGTTTGCATGTATATGGTGAAGAATATGTTTTACAGGGAATCCTAATATCAAATAGGTTTGTTAATTTTCTCTTTGAAGCATTTTGGATAAGTGAACTGATGCCTATGTGGATAGTGAGGCTCAGAAGGAATATGTGTGGGTCCCAATGTTTTGACTCCACCACCACCCATATTATAAAGGAATATCTCAGAGGGCTAGCTTTTCATGGAACATTTTTCAGAAATACTTATAGAAAATGGAAAAGATTTTCAGGAGTCAGGCAACTGAGAATACAAACTCAGAAGGCTCTTTGCTTCTCAGTGGGCGATTAGATTAGAGAAAGAGTACTTAAATTTGTATAAGATGTTATGTGTATATAAAGTAAGTAGATGTTTTAATTGCTAAAGAATTGCCAGGTGGGATGCTTTGTGTCTCCAGTGAAAGAACATATTTTTTAAAACTTTATAAAAATGAATTAAATATTCTGTGTTCATTCTACCCTATATAAATCTCTAATGAGATACTCATTTGGGACATTTTATCAAAGAAGAGATTTCCTGAGTTTGTCCAAGATGGGTAATAATTGGAGAATACAGAAGCAATGAGCCTTTAGGAGTGTCTTTCTCCCATGCACTTCTCTTGGTGGTGACCTTGCTGACAGCTTACTCTTCCCTAAATCTCTCCCACTTAAGAAATTGTGAAATGCAATCCTAACTTCTCTTTTCTCTTCCTCCCCTTTTCCTTTTCCTTCTCCATTTCCCTGCCCTGTGTTTTCCTTCCTTGCTCTCCAGGAACCTTCTGCATCATTTCACTGTGTACCTGTGTGGCTGGGATCAACTTTGAGCTATCACGTTACCCACGCTACCTATATGGACTACCGGATGACATCAGCCATGGCTATGGATGGTCCATGTTCTGTGCATGGGGGGGCCTGGGCCTCACACTAATCTCGGGATTCTTCTGTACCTTGGCCCCCTCTGTCCAACCTGTCCCGAGGACCAACTGCCCTAAATCCAGACCAGAGAATGGGACAGTGTGCTAAAATACAAACCCATACATATATATATATATAAATATATATATAATATACATATATAAAATGAAACTCAATCAAGATGATGCCAGTGCCAAGGTAGAGTTGAGTTGGCTCAGGCACCTGCATCTCACCAGACTTTGTGTTGCCTCGTGTCCAAGATGGGAGAAACGTCCCCATCCTGTGGCTCTCTCATCAGTTCTTGACTTTGGCTTCATGATTTCTTCAAGACAGAGTGAAAGCCACCAATCTCGGTAGCATCTCAATCCCTGTCACTCATAAGGATGTGGTGGTGAGCTGGAAGGGACAGAGGCAGTAGTCTGAAGTGACACAGATACAAAGAAGGAAGCGCCACACTGTGAGCCACCAAGAGAGGACACCACCACACCCCAGCCATCAAATCACAGGGAAACTCGGTCCCTTGAGTTCATAGAATGTAACCACATCTTCAAGGCCGTGTTCAGAACCACTTCTCTGCTCTTCCTGTTCTGAGCTCCTTCTCAGCCCACCAGTGATGAGGAAACAGACTGAGAAGGAAGTTTTCTCTTTGCAGTCAAACCTTTGGACAATGCTTTAGAGGTGGGAAAGGGAGAGAACATGCTGAGAGGCAAGATCTGCATCAACAAAAGGACATTCAGTGGATGCTCAGAAAACCCAGTCTTACCTTCCAGCTGCCTTACACCCAGTTAAACAAAAGGCCACCCTGTCCTCCCCTGCCTGTGTTCTCTGGGCAGATCGGAGCCTTTGAGCAATGCTGTGATGTGTGATGTGGTGTGTGTGTGTGTGTGTGCGTGCGCGTGTATTTGTGCGTGTGAATGCATGTGTGTGTGCATGCGCACACATGTGCACATAGGTGTTGGGTGGTTAACTTTTTATTTTCTATTCTTTGAATGGAAATATATTATTCTGTTGTCTCTCTCACACTGTTGTTGTTTTTGACCCATTACGGAGGCCCCAAGATCTGGGAATTATCTTGGGAGAGACAGGCCTTCATGGGTGCCAATGCAGCAGCTGCAGATTCCTAGAGAGAGAGAGACAAGAGTGAGTGTGAGTGTGTGTGTGTGTGTGTGTGTGCGCGTGTGTGTGCGTGTGCCCAGGCACGTGTGTATAGGCATGCACACGTGGTGGATATCTCATGAGTGTAGGGTTTTATTGTTTGTGTTACTTTTCTTTTTTTTTTTTTTTTTTTTTTTTTTTTTATAATTTTTGGTACAGCTGAAATTCCCAGAGGGCAAAACCAAGAACAAAACCACTGGGCCAGAGAACCCTGTGGTACTTCACAGTATGGTTCTGGAACTCCACAAGATTTAGTCCACTAATTTTGGAAGTTCAAGACACAGCCGGGCACAAAAGTCATAAGAGAAGAGGGGGAACATACAGTTCAGGAGAGAGAAGGAATATTGCCTCTGGTTGCTGATGTACAATTGTGTATACCAAACAAGACCTTCACCCCCCATTGTGGGGGCTGTCCTTTGTCACTGGACGTCTGCTTTTCTAGGGTCAAGCCCTGTACCGATGAAAGGAAATGGGTCCCATGCAGAGAGAGCACCTCCATGTCCCATGGGCTCAAGTTTGTATGATATCATGTAAATTAATGGAGAACTCTTGACTCTTTCCCTTCTCATCCTGTTCCTCTTGATCTTCAAGGCCCTGAATCCCAAAATAGATACCCACCTTAGGGCTAGCACCCAAACTGAGGTGGGACAAGGCCATCCAGGCATCTCAGACTCACTTGAGCAAATTGGCACTGGGTGCTGGCAAATGAAGAAGTCAGCCAGAGCCGTGAATGCCACAGGGCAGGAACAGCTCATGGTTACCTTGGGAACCCTGATGGTGCCAAGTGTCCCTGGGGAGGCGAGGAGAGAATCCCTAGCTGGCACAACCATGGTCAGCCATGCAGAAAGGGAGCTTGGCTGCTGCAGAACAGATCTGCTTTGGAAACATTGCCAAACACTCCACAGCCTTTCTGCCCCACCCGCTCTGTTGCAGCTCCCTGTTTCCAACCTCTTTTCCTACCAGACTCCTCACCTGCTAACACCTTTCCTCCCCTCCCTCCATCTTCCAGGCTGTAGGTCCTGTTGGTCTCATAGCCTCCTCTGGCTCTCTCTCTCTGTCTCTGTGTGTGTACTTTCGTGTGCGTATGTGTGTGTGTGTGTATGTGTGTGTGTGTGTATGTGTGTGTGTGTGTATAGTGTGTGGTTGTGTATGTTTCATTGTGTTCCTATATACCGGTGTGGCTGCATTTCTCAAGACTCCCTCATTAGGGCCCTGGTCAGGTTCTCTAGAAGGTCTGTCTTGTGAGAACTATGAGTCCAGGAGAGCCAGGCGAGCGGGGGCGAGCTGGGTGTCAGGAAGTGCTGCTGGCTTCCAGTTGAGATTCTAAGAGTTGTTTTAAAGACAAAGGGTGTATTCTATGATAAGGAGAATAATTTTTCAAAAAAAAAACTGAGTTTTTTTAATTGACAATTTTCTCTTTCTTTGAAAAAGCTAGATTTTTCTCTTACGGTGAAGGATATACTTGAAGTTGAGGGAAAATGAAATTATCTCAGATTGGGAGGCTTTTTGTCTTCCTTCTGGGTATCTTGAACTGAGCAGGGATAAGCAGGTGTCCATGAACATACGCGTGGGCACTTGTCTGTGACTAAATGATAATTCCAGCAGCAAAAAGATGGATGAAGCTAAGCTAAAGGGGACAATTTTCTATAGACTATTTCAACTTTTCTCAAGTAAACTTGTTTGAACATATGAGTTCGCAGACCTCTCAGTTTTATGCCTTTTGTAAAAATTATATTCATCATAAACAGATCATCTGCTTTATCCAATTGCCCCAGACTATGACAAACTTTTAATAAAATTTACTGGCTTCCTTTGAAACATGAGCATTCCTGAAGCATTAGATGGGCTCCCAGGCAGGAGACAGGCTCTCTGGACTTAGTTCATTCAGCTCACCATCAGCCGAACTAGACCTTAGAGTGACTCTCTTACTGTTACAACTGGACAGGGACGGACACACACATGCTAGGGTCTGATCCTACTTAGGAAAAAACAAAAACAAACAAACAAACAACAACAACAACAACAAAAAAAAACAAGCTCAGGCCCCTGATCAGCACGGATGTCTCCACGCTGATAGCAATCTCTGTCCAGGTGACCTAATTCCTCCATCACAGGGGGTTGACCTGCTTCAAATAAGCCCCTCTGAGACCGTTTCTGGAGCTTCTGGCCCAGGGCTGGCTAGGGGATGAGTGAAAGAGAAGGAAGAAAAGAATCTGGGTTTGTGACACTCTCTAGGTCAGACTCCACTAACTCCAAATCATAGACTCCAATCTCCTGAGGGGACTGAGAGCCAGTGACTTTGGCAAGACCCCTGGTCCTTACCTAGGGCAAGTTCAAATTCTTTTACTGTGTGTACACAGGGAGCAGGATTGCATATGCTGTGGACTCTGTGCAAGCCCCCAGCACGAGACCACTTTCAACATCCATTTCTACTGCTGTCTCCTATATTGAAGATTTGGGGAAGTTGGCATCTAACTAGGGAAAAGTACAATTTCCTGTTCTCTTTAGGAGTTAGGGCTCTTTTTCTGCTTTCTTTCTCCCTATAGCTTTCCTTATCATCATTGTGACAGTTACCTTCTTAGGGAAGAGAGAGGCTTCAAGCTCCCCTTTCCTTGCTTGTCATGGCCTGAGGTCTCACAAAGAGATGTGTAGATCACTGACATCAAAATATAAGAAAAAGAAGTGCCTGTTCCAGCCTTTTAGCAGCCCCCCCTTTCTCACTTCTAGGGATAATGACGGCATAGTTAAACAGCTCTCACAGGTCAAGACCAGTCTTCTTTGGCCTCAGGTCCCTGAGTGGTGCCCTAGGCCATGAGACCATGCTTGTGTACTCTCCCACAGGTGAGGTTTCTACCCAGGGGTGTAGCCTTTCCTCTATAGGAGAGGGTGCTCTGAGACTTGGCATCTCCTTAGCTGTCCATATACATAGTAAGAGACCTAAGAAGGAGCTACTACTACTGACATGAGGAATATGTGCTATTTAGGTCTCCAGTACTGCCCACCTATGTAGTATGCCCAATAATAAGGTCTTACTCATTGCTCAGAGCATTTGGTGCCAACAGTCATTAGGCTGGGAACATTTTTACACTGATTTTCACTCATGTGGGGAAGGAATGGGAAGAAGTACCCTCTGTCTCTGTTTGTGTAGAATACCAGTTGCTTCTTGTAGTTAAAGGGAATCTTCTTTCCTGAAAATGTTCCTGATGCTCCTGAGCTGATATGCCCCAGTAAACACATCCATCCTTCTCCAGGGAAAGATGATGAGTCAGAAGAACTGATTATACAGATAGCAGAGTAAGCATCGCTCAGCTAGACCAGCCCTAGTGCTGTCTTCCAGTCCACATAGACAGAGGAAAAGGGCAGGTTGTTTTTTAAAGCAAGTCCAGCAGAGAGGATGCGCACAGGTGTCTCTCAGGGTGCTTGACTTCTGGGATCATGTTTACCATCTCTCCATCGATGCTACTCTGCCACAAAACACTTTGACATTGTTTCTAGTCCTTCGACTAGGTCATTACCAGCTGTTGAGCTTTCCACTCTGAGGCATACACGCTCATTGTAGAGAACCAGGAAAGAAAAGTAAGTGCATGCAAAAGACCAAGACACTGATTCTAATCCCGTCACTCAGGCCCCTACGGTGGACCCAGTAATAATGGTCAGACCTCAAAACCTCTTCAATGAGTGGTTGTCACTGGGTGAATAGATGGGGCCAGGATAACATGGCATGGCCACAGAACTGCACCAATTGGCATCAGTGATTCTGTGTTCTTGGCAGCAATACAAACCCCAAGCCAGGGCAGCAAAGAGGCCTTTGAAAACTCACACCAGAGCTAAAGATCTCTCTCTCTCTCTCTCTCTCTCTCTCTCTCTCTCCTACTTGTTCCTTTTTTCAGGTGCCATCTCAGTCTAATCATGGGTATAAACTCTCTGAAGCCAGAGAAACTCACTAATGAAGC